TATACAAGCAAACTGCCCAACTAATGAGTGAGGGTCCGAACTCCCCTAAGGCCGTGACTCCTTGAGGGCTGCTCTGGTACTTTGGGAGCAGGGGCACACGCACCTTCAGAAAACCATCCCAGACACATCCTTTCCCTGACTCACAGCCCCCACCCCCCACCCCCGCTGTCTTCATCTTGCCTCTTTCTTCATGGGGACACTGGGGAAACCAATAAGCCCAAACTAGTCTGGCTCATGATAACCACAGGGACTACGGAGGAGAACTTCGCTAGAAGCCTTTCTTGGCTACTCCCGTGAAGAGGTACAGTCTTGAAAACCCACAGGGACAGTTCTAGCCTCTCCCATAGGCTTATCTGAGTCAGAACTGACTGCAGGGTGGTGAGTTTGGGTTTGTTTGGTTTTGAATCTTCACAGAAGCACAGAAGGAGATCCCCAGGTTCGCTGTCTGTAGAGCCACTAGGTAGGCTCAAATCGCCAACCTTTCACCGGTCTTTGCCGCTGAAAGCAAACTATTGCATCACCGAGAACCAATAGGGTGGTTGGTAATAATATCAGTCAGGGTCAGGTCCATTTGATGAGTGTTTACCCAGTGCTAGCTCTGTGCCACCTCATTTACATGTGTTCTCTAACCTCCTAATGGCCAGATGAGCTAAAATGACACCCCGGGCTTACTGATGGGGAAGAAATGAAGTAGCCCATCACCCTGGGCATTGGCAGAGCAGGGACTGCCATCATTTCTAAGTAATTCCGAACTCGTGAGCTCAGCCACTAACTTGGAGAAATCAGACTCTCTCCAGACCTTGCTGATCAGGGAGAGTCACTCTCCAGAGAAGGATTGTGATCTCGGCGCACACTGGGAAGTCTGGCTGCCCCCTTTCCTTCCTCAGTACAGCATACTCCTAGAGAGCGGGCCCTGGCGTGTTCTGTTCGCCAAGGTGTTCCTGGTGCCTGAAGCAAACCCTAGCACATAGAAGCACCGCGGGAGGGAGGGGAGGAGAAAGAAGAAAGGAAAGACAGACTGGCTGCTTTATCCACGGCCGGTATCGGGCTTCACTGCCTCAGTCTCTGGTCTCCTATTACAAAGGCCATGCCCATGGAGGAGGTAACCCTCCAGTTTTACTTATACCTCAGCATGGCTTGTAGGTTCCTTCCCAAGAGCAGGCTTTGGTGGGACTGCGTAAAGGACATTGCTACATGGAAGGGTAAGGAAATGATAAGGAGGTAGAAGAGGCAGGGGTGGATTGGGTCCCCAGTTGCTGAGGGATCTAGTCCGATGCCTGGCGCCCACGTGGGTCAGAGTAGAACTGCACTCCACAGGGGCTCCAGTGTCTGGATGTTCAGAAGGGACCCACCAAGTCTTTCTTCTGCGGAACCTCTGGGTAGGCATCAACTGCCAACTTTGTGGTCAGCAGGTGATGGTGTTGACTGCCTGCACCATGGGGGACTCCTGGAAATTGGGGCATGGAGTGCGTAGAGGGAAGCTGAGCTCATGCCAGGATTCCATTTACTGTCAGGTCTGTACACACACACACACGTATATATACATATGTATAATTCTTTTCATTGAAATATGTATTTACACACATATATATTTATGCAACCAAAAATTTTCACTTTTAAATGGAAACACTCAAATAGTGTTATAATCTCAGAATCGGTTTTTTTCTCCCTAAAACAATGACGGCAATTACCTCCCTACAGAGTGAGTGGGGGCATGAGGAGACACTAGGACAACTCAAGGAACTACAGTGTGAGTTAGGTTGGCATGTGAAGACTGGAGAGTTAAACTCCAGGGATTCAGAGCTGGAGATGCTAAGTCTTGAGCTGAGATCTTATCTTCCTTCAAAACCTACTCTCAAGAAAACTCATCAGATTAATTTCTGTCAAGCTTTTCCACCACTGAAGATCGAAGGAAGCAGATGCGGCTCCAGCACAGGGTAAGTATTGAACCAGATAGATTTTTTTTAAGACCCCTCTCAAGTCTGAGATACTATGAATCTATACTTATTTGAAAGAAAAAAAGAGAGAGACCTTTAGAAGCCTTTACTTTCAGTTTCAATGCCATCTCTTGTTTCTGCCCATTGATTTCTCCACTGCTGATGACCTTCAAGCAATCCCTTTGTCTGCTGTGGTCCTTTTGGAAAATGGTTGAGTTGCATGAAAAGAAAAACTCAGCAGCACATCCTCCTGATAAGTCAAGTTTTAGGATGGCCAGAAGAAATGACAGGCAGATGTGCAAGAGAGAGAGAGTGAAAACAAGGGACGACACCTTCCTACCTGCATGTGCCAGTCTGTGGATGGCTGTCAGAGAGTGGACGAGTCTGTGGATGGGCTTTCCACCTTTAGAGCTCTGAACATGCCAAAGTAGAACCTCGGTGTTCAGAATAGAAGAAAGGCTAAGGATGGACTTGGCTGATTCAATAGGTCAGGAGATTTTATTATCCCTAGAATAGACAACATGCCGAATGGGATTTAAGAAGGACTGCGAGTGACTTAGACCAGCCAGCTAGAGAGAAGTGTTGGGATGATAGCAGCAGACTAGTTGGAACAGTAGTGTTGGGATGGCTGGGAAATGTGACAGTTACAACATCTCCTGTCAACTTGAGGAAGGGGTGGAGTCTAGCCTGCCAATCAGGTCATAGCCAATGAAGCCTCTGTGTGGGCATGGCCTTCTCCTGAGGATTCTGGGAACTCCTGTCTTCCTCCCTGGAGGCAGAACACATACTCTCTCAGTTTGACATTCCTGTTGACAAGCCACATGAAGCTTTGCTGATGGAGTCAGAGCCCTGGAGCTGGAGGAGTCACGTGGAGACCCACGGCAGTACTGAGATGCTTACACCACCACTGGATGCTTTCCACCCACTGGCCTGTGATCTTCCTGTTTTCAGTATCACTGCATGTGTTGTGAGAGTCTGAAGAGGAATTTATAGACTGGTATTGGGCATATGGGCTAATATCAGACTTAGGGACTTGAGCTGGGGTGTTTTCTTAATATACAATTACTCTTTGATATAAAGTTCTCTCTTACATATAAACAAGTGTCAATGAATTTGCTTCTCTAGTCAACCCAGACTAACACAGGAAACAGGGTCTAGCTCAAGCTCTGGACTGGCCATGAAGGCTTGGTCCAAGCATTTCCCTTCTCTGGGGCTTGGTTTCCTCATCTATAGAACAAGGTGGCTGTTTTCTGACATGACATACTATCTATGTCGAGCCAAGCCCACCCAGCCGCACTGTGAATGAAAGGCCTCATGATTTGCTTCCATAAAAATTGTAGTCAAGAAAACAGCTCTAGACTATGAAGCAGTTCTTCCCTGGCGCCCAAAGAGTCACCAAGAGTTTGGATCAACACTCCGGTAATGAATTTGCTTCTGGTTTCCCATGATCTTCCGAATGTCTTGGTTTGTGAGCACATTGCACCCAGCTTCTTCTGATAACCACCTCTGTTCTGCCTGCCCCACAATAGTGCTATGGGAATCCAATGTGCTTATATTGTACATCTATTTGAAGTAATCAATGTTCCACATTAGAATAATATTCCACCTGTCAAAAATGATAAGCCTCTAGTTATAACCAAGCGATATTTTAGGACATGTCCATAATTTAAATGTTCTTCTGTAATTATGTTCACTGATAGAGAGATACAGGAAAGAGGAAGGCTATTGGAATGGTTGTTTTATAGTAGAATCATCTTTCTGTCTTTCTGAAATAATGATATTGACTCTAGGCTTGCAATATCAAGAAAAGAAGGTATAAAAAAAGAAAGAAAAGAAGGTATAGCAAAATTATCCTCAGACCACATAGCCTGGACTTTGATGGCAAGTCTAAGTCCATCACAACAGGTTGAATCTGAGAAGCTCACGTAGAAATCAGAGGGGTGCCTGGCAGGGAGTACAAGGTAGTTTGCTGGAGGCCAAATTTTGTTTCAGATTCTGGAACCAGCATGGACGTCCAAAGGAAAATATGTCCAACATAAGATCACCGTGGCTGAGCTCTAAACCTACTTCAGAAAAGAAGTCATATTGGGGGTGGTGGGGAGGAATATAGAAACCATGTCATGTGTTCATACCTTTGGAGAAGTTGAGAGTTGATGTTCTAAGATGGTGAGAGTACTAGGCAGGGCCAGTGTGGTAATTACATAATTTGTTGTCAACTTGAGAGTATTAAGAGTGACGGGATGGAGTTTAGTCTGTCAATCAGGTTGCAGCTTGATGACCTCATATGGAGGCACTAGGAGATAAATAGCTCGCTGGAGGTGGGACACACACTCACTCTCTGCGAGATATTCCTGCTGACAAGACACAGGGAACTATTCTAGAGCCCTGGAGGTACCACATGGAGACCCACGTCAGTGCTGAGATGCTTACACCACCACTGGATCCACAAGACTTTGCACCCATTGGCTTGTGATTTTCCTGCATTCAGTGTCATTGCTTCATGAGTCTGAAGAGGAATTTATAGACTGGTATTGGACATATGGGCTAATAGCAGACTTATGGACTTGATCTGGACTGGTCTGGGATGGTTCCTCAATATTCAATTGCTCCTGTATACAAAGCTTATTCTTATACACTTGAGTGTCTATGAATTTGTTTCTCTAGTAAACCCTAAGACAGGTAGCTTGCCCCAAAAGGGGACTTCCTTATCAATGGTTACTTCTTGATTAGTGGTTACTTACCAGTCTGAGGTGGAAAGTTTCACAAGTGTTTCAACAATCTTTGATTAGTAAGTATTATTATATTAATTCTCATTAATCTTGCTTCCCACCTCTCTCCCCAACACCCATTACTTCAGACAAGTGATGTGTAAGTGTTGTACTTATTGGGGGGAAAAAAATCTGCTTTATCGGTGTCTTCCTAGATTTCAACCAGATACAGAGGCACCCCTTCATCTCGCTCAACTGTGCTCCCCTTTCACGCTCTCCCAGTGTGGATCTAGCAAGACAGCCCGTGGAGTTTACAGAATACAGTCTTGGATTTGGGAAAGGCGGAAACACATACGTGTTCAGATGTGAAGGCAATGAGCCTGGGAACAGCGGCCATTCCTTTCTCCTTGACTTCTGGGAACATCTTGAAGCGAGCGACCAGCATGGCGTACATGTTCGAGATGGCGCCACCTAGGGAGCACAGCAATGCGGTTACTCAGCCTGTTCTGCGCTGCACTCCACATGCAAGCCACGCCCCTGTCCCTGCGCCTCCCTGTCCTTCGTGGCCTCAAAGGCAAGAGCTAAGCGAGCTCTCCAAAACATTCACTGCCCTCAAGTCAATTCTGGCTCATGGTGACGCAAGTCCAAAGAAGCCATATGGGCCCAACCACAGCACACATCGTGCTCCCCTTCATAGCTCCACTCTTTCACCAAGAAAACCTAGAGTAGATTCTACTCCATGCGAGGAGGCTTGCAAGAACAAAGAAAAGTTCGCTTCTTCCCCAGCGTGTGAGGGTGGTCATGATGCTGCAAACCAGACCCCCTCCCACCTAGGCGATTCTGACTCATCTCTTGCCTATGGGATAGAATAAAGCTGGTCTGTAGTGTTTCCAAAGTCAACAAATCGTCATGGGTGCAGATAAGCTCATCTTTTCCTCCTGAGCAGCTGGTGGGTTTGAGCCAATGACCTTGTGGTTAGCAGTCCTGTAGCATCACCAGGGCTGCTTCATCATGCAGCCAAGCAAAAACTCAAACCAATTGCCATTGAGATGACTCCAGCTCATAGTGTCCCTGTCTATAAGACAGAGCAACACTGCCCCTTTGGGCTCCTAAGACTATATGCTTTATGGGAGCAGAAAGCCTCATCTTTCTCCCATGGAGCAGCTAGTGACTTTGAACTGCTGACTTTGAGGTGACCCTAGGCCATCAGGGCTACTTCTCAAAATGCACTCACTCAGTCACTCACTGCCATCAAGTCGATGTCGACTCATAGTGACCCTACAGGACCCTCATAGTGACCCTACAGGACAGGCTAGAACTGCCCCTGTGAGTTTCTGAGACTCTTTATGAGAGTAGAAAGCCCTGGATTCTCCCCATTATGCACGAGGCCTATGAAAATACCATTTCTTGAGACTTTCAGTTCTTTTCATTGCAGCTCAGGAAATGCTTTGCACTCAGATTGAGAAGATTCGGTTGCTATTAATGGTGCGGGCTGCTAATCAGCAAGCTTATAGAATATGCAGGATAAACACCCACACCCTACTCATCTCATGCATCCATTAATTCCCCAAGACTAGTCTTCCCTCTAGAAGACATCACTGAACTATCACTGTGACAGTTAAAAAAACCTTATCTTGTAATTGGTGGAAAACACACAATTGAGGGTACATTAAGCCCAGATCGAATGACTTTTTCTCGGTCAGCCTAAAACAGTCTGCTGGGCTGCACTTGATAAGTAAAAGTGAGTGTTCCCCAGGGTTGCTGGGAAGCCCCAGGGTTTGTTATCCAGGAGCAAGGCAGGTGGTTGTGAATGCAAATGAGGATGCTGATGTGAAAGGCAGGCACCTGGAAGCAGGGCCAAGGTTCCCCCCACCCTCCCACCCAAAGGGGACTCCCGCAGCTTCCACCATGAGGTAGGTGCTCTGAACTTCCTGCCACTCTGGCGGCTGTCAGCGGAAGGGTTCTCTGGGCCAAGATAAGTGGACCACGCAGAGAGCCTTGACCTTTGTCTCATTAGTCTGCCTGGCCCAGAGCAGTAATCACCTAGATCCTGCGCTCTGTCATCAGTTAGAAGGAGGGCAATTCCTATCTCCTCTGGACCCCAGGGACACAGGGCACAGAGAATTCAGGTCAGGCCTGCTCTGAGCAGACACCCTGGCTAAAAGCTGTGCCAGGAAGGGCCAGCTTTAAAAAGAACTTCCACTGCAGTTCGTGGCTAATCCTGGCACCATTCACCTCTCTCTGCTATGGGGCTGGTTCCTACTCCAGAGATCTTATAGGTCAGGTAGCATGGCCCTAGCAGGTTTCTGAGAGTAAGAAAGTAGAAAGCCTCATCTTTCTCCCACACGTTAACATGTAGGGCTGAAAATTCTTAGTTGTGGGGGGCTGCCCATGAGAGGATATTTACCAGCAACCTTTGGCCTCTACTCACTAGGTACCAGAACATCCCCCACCCCCAAGTCTGGACAGTCACAAATGTCCAGACGTTGCACAATTGTCCCTAGAGACCAAATTGCCCCTGGTTGAGAACCAAAGCTCTAGCTGTTCTTTTTAAGACAGGGGAGGGGAGGGCAGAAGGGAGGATGCAGACAGAGAATTCACACTGCCTGTGCATTTAGCCTACAGCAGTGGTTCTCAACCTTCCTAATGCTGTCACCCTTTCATACAGTTCCTCATGCTGTGCTGACCCCCCAACCATAAAATCATTTTCATTGCTACTTCATCACTGTCATTTTGCTACTGTTATGAATTGGGCGGCCCCTGTGATAGGGTCATTCAACCCCCAAAGGGGTTGAGACCCACAAGTTGAGAACCGCTGGCCCAGAGGCTTCCAGCCCTGCCTTCTCACTGTTTTTTCTGCAGGTGAGCCATCCTCTCCTGAGGGAAGACAGGAAGAGGTTTCGGAGCCTCTGGATAGAGCCTCTGGTTACTGCTTTATTTAACACAGCATGTGCTCTGCATGCTCATTTCCCTGGAATCTTCCAGAAGAAGGATGCAAAAGCAAGTTGTGGAACATGTGGAAAGCCTGTAAGGTGGGCAAAGGTTTGCGACTAAGCCCAGCTCTGCCCCCAAGTCCTTCACGACTTGCTGCTCAGTGAGGAGTGCTCTGGTCTCTCAGTTGCAGACGGTCATCTCGGAGATGGGAGCGGAAAGCAAACCAGGCCCAGACTTAGCTCCTCGCATTTAGTTTCGGGGAATGGGACTTGAACATCTCAGAAAACGTAAGATGGCTGATGTCCTTCTTCCTTGCCCTTAAATCTTAACACCTCTTTCTCAAGCATAAGCCTGGGATGACCTAAAAAGCATCCATCAGCATGTCTGGTCCTATGATCCCTCTCTTCTCTGCGATGCTTATAGAAAGCACAATGAAAACAGGTTGTCAATGGTCTTTTCCGGTGGCTCCCAAACCATCGTGAATCTGCATGATTCATATGGGTCCCATCTTGGCTAAGTGGAAACTATTAATAGAAAGATTTGAGGGTCTAACCCATCTAGAAGTGCCGTGGGAGAAAGGCCAGACTATCGCCTTCTGAAAGTCACACTCTTGAGAACTCGATGGACCACCGTGGAACTCTGAAAGAGGTGTGTGTGTGGGGGGGAGGGGGGGCCGTCTGTGAATTGAAATTGACCTGGCAGCAACTAACAGCAGCAAGCCTGGCGTGATGGCAGGTGCAGCTCTGGTCTATCCAACGGGGTCAGTTTCAGTGACCTGAGCCCCTCCCCCGCTGTTGGCCAGCTTCCACTTGTAACAGCTTAGTCTGCAGACTAGGGTACCTGGCCTGGGGTCAGTGCTTGCTCTTCCCGTTGCCTTCCTAACTTCCGTTTCCTCTCTGCATCAAACCAAGGTCATACACAAATCTGGGGCCCGACCCAAGGAACAAGGCTTTTTGTGCTGGTTGATCTTGACTGGAAGCAATGTAAATCATGGAGCAATGTCTGGTATGAAAGGCAGGGTGGAAACGACTACACTGTGTGGTCAAGAAGAGAAGGCATGAGATAACTTCTGAAGAAATCATGGCCTTCTCTTGCAGCTCTAAGAAATTGCCTCCCCACGCACTCCCTGCTCTCCCCCTGCCCCCAACCTCCCAACCCCCACCTTTGAAATCAGGGTCAGGCTGCTGCTTTCTGGTTACATAAAAGAGGTAGGTGGTACATGTGCTCTGCTAGATCCACCTGCTGGCTCTGCACCCTCAGAGGATGCTTCCTTAATTGACAACACCCCTTTCCTTTCGCTCATCCTGGGAGGAGCATCGAGAGTGAATCCCCCCCACCCCCTACTGGGACTCTGCTCCACAGGATGCCCACAGCCTGCATACAGAATCACAGCAGAAGGCCAGGCAGAGGTAAGTGTCACTTCTGACAGCACTCTTTGCCAACATCAATCACTGCAGCGAAAGGATGGAGGCTGGTGGCTGGCAGGTGAGTCCAGTGGTCATATGCACTTAATCACACTCATTCTTTTGATTCATACACAACCCATTTCACCCGAACAGAAGTAACCACCCAGTTTTTGACCTTTCCTAGGTGCTTGCTAAGGCATTGCATACCAGAAGGAAAAAAAACACAAATAAAGGTGAAAATAATTATATACCAGGAGAAAATATCCCGTCGCCAGAACCCCCAGGCCAGCCAATGATCTCTCTCATTTTCTTTAGCGTGACGTATTCCAAAAGCACAAATACCGGAGCAATTTCATAGGTGAACCTGAAATGTAGTAACGGCCACATTTTATGGCTGTAAATCAAAGAAATCATTCACCGCTTAAAATATCTACCAAACTCTCTCCCCTTTTGAGCAGCACGTTGCCAAACGTTTTGATTGTTACGTTCTGCAGAGAGGAAGATGATGGCTTCCAGAAAGGTCGCTTGATTTTCTCTCTTTACTGTCAAGAGCTTCTTAAATTATTGGCATAATGCACAGGGGTGGTTGATCATGCTGCACAAATAGCGAACGCCACAGAGTAGGGCCATCTGAAAGCCAACATCTGGTCCCATTTCTTTTTCACGTTATACATAATCATAAATACAAAGCCCCCCAAATCCCTTTTGTGCTTTAAAATTTTTGTATAGAATTGATTGCATGAAAGCTATGTCAAGGCTATTTTCCATTAAGCTAGGCACGAATGCTCATATCCTGAGGCGCACATTACTATTTTAGGGGCTACTTAAAAATGAGACTTTAATACGGGAGTTAGAGTAAAGACCACGGGACAACAGTGACCCTTATCCTGGACCACACAAAAACACATTTAGTTACTTACATGTTAGTGTTTGCTGTTGATGTCAGCCAGTCGGCTGCTAATCCAACCATATCCAGTCCAGTGGAAAGTTGATTAAAGTATCTGGGATGCCCTAAAAAAACAAAAAACAAAACGTAGTGCCACGTTCATGATTGCATCAAAGGGAAGCGTGTGGGCAGATTCTGCCGTCACAGGTATTTCATATCCAGAAAGACACACAGACACCAAAAAGGTATTTCCCCTAACCAGAGTGACTACCTACTTTAGGTCTGGGTATTTCTTGAAACATATCCTACACAGAATAATGAATGTGGTTTCCAATCTGAACATTCCTGGATTGCCCACCATTCTCTTTGTATATTTGCCACCTAAAGATGCTGGTGTAATAGACAGGGCTGAAAAGACAGGCCACTTCTTGTTTACATGCATACTTCTAAGAACATTTTTTGTTGTAGTTGTTCTGATAATCAACCATACTATGACATCGGAGAGGCATGCCAACAATCCTAATAATGTCGGTGGCAAATGGCTGGTGATTACAAAAGATGGGGTAAAAGGGAAAAAAGAGGGCACTGTGCTGAATGACTTGCCCTGGGCTTAGGATGTTATGATTGTCCAAGGATGGCATAGACAAGCTCAATACTTGCCCATTCTTCTGTTAGAACATTTGGCTGTAAACAAGAGAGTCCCCTGATAGCGGTGAATGCAAAATAAAGCTGTATACTGCCACCTCCGTCACTGTCTCGTCGATCTAATACATGAAGATACAGTCAATGGAGTGGATAGTCCATTAGCAAGGCTTATCTAATTAACTTCCAGATTTTGCTAAAACTCTCTCAAGGGGGTTCACATCAGAATACTCTTATGGCTATTAGTTTAAAGGGTGATTGTAAATATTTCCTTAGAAGTCTGTTCCCTTGTTAGGCCCCATAAAAGCCTAGCTATCATTTTGATGATTTGCTTAGCAGCAGAAAAAATGGTAGGAGTCACAATGATGGAAATACGATCTGATCCGGAAGGTATCTGTCACTTACTGGACACCTGTCTGAAGCCCGGGGGTGTGACAGTCTCTGGAGTCAGCATGGGGAAACAAGATAAAGGCAGGCAGCCGGGAAGGCAGGGACAAAAGTCCACACACAGTTATCTCCCGGGCTGGAGAGCTCTCTTATCAGCCTCAGACACGTGGCTGGAGAATTGGACCGAGGGAAGGTATGACCAACCGGAGGACCAGCACATTGTGAAAGGGTTGGGATTCCCTCCCGTGTCTCCAGTCCGTCCTGCCCGCGCGTGCCCGGTGTCCATCTACATCTTTTTGCCCTTTTCCAGACCCTCTGATGCTGACCCCTGTCAGCTTACCCATCCAGGGAATGAGAGAAAGCCCTTCTTTCTTGGCGGCAGCTGCAGCTTCTGCCATCTGGAACGGCGCCCCCCTCCTCTCTGCCTCATTGACTCCCCGTTTCATTAGCGCTCCCAGCTGAAACCAGCGCCCCCTTCCCGCCCAGGCCCCTTCGTTTCTCTTCCCTTAAGCCTTTCCTTCAAGTGGGAAAGTAATAGGGACTAGCAAATCTATCGTCAATCGACTCTCCCACATCCACAGGAGATTCCGAAGGATCGGGTCTGACAGGCTGTGCTGCTTCACCTTCCTTGGCACGCGCGCGGCTCTGCTTAAGATCGGAGGGGGCGGGTCCAAGGTGTGCCTGATTGACCCCAGAGTACCCGAAGGCCAGCCCACTTCGTGCACCTTTCACACACACTGTTCAGTTTTCTTTTAATTAACTTTTTTAATGACATTGGCCTTTCATTTCAACAGAATCTTTCCTGCCTGGGTAATTTTGCCCACTGAGAATGATATACAAATATGGAGGGAGATAAGGGAGGTGACCTTTTGAGACAGCACCATCCCTTCATGTCTGCAGAAATATCCACTCACTGCAATTACATTGGTTCTTTCTCTTCCTCTGACCCCCTCATTTGGCTGCCCTGCCAATCCAGCCAGGGGTCAGGAGAGAGGTGGTGAGAGACCTGCCTGAGAGGCTGTGCCACCAAGCAGCCAGGCCACCCTCAACAACCAGCAGCTGTTCTTGCTGCCCCTGGTTTGAGGAGGCAGGCACAGCTCTCCACCGTCACCCCTCCCAGCCAGTCAAGGGCGAGTCAGACCTGAGACTGCAAGGCTCTCAACCACCCTGCCTATGGGTCCCCCCGCCCTCGCGCCCCCCCCCCCCCCCCAGTTTAGCACAAGAGCCCAGAACGATCTTTAGACTGCAAATTGCATGCCCCAGGCATCTCTAATCCGGTGTCCAGTCAGATGGGGAGTGAGCAAAAGTTGGGCCCAAACTGCTCTTTCTGTTTTGGCAACGCAAACACCTGGATGGCCTCATTCATTGGCACTCCAAATTCCCTCTGATGGTTTGCTTAAAAGACTCAAGAAAAGGTGAGCCCCTCTCTTCTAAAACCACATCTGATGACCCCTGTAAATGCTAATGATCCCAGGAAATTCCCCCCCTCTCTGCAGTTTTCTGTTCTAACGCTGCTTCTAGAGGTGATTTGAACTAGAAAACTTCATTTAAAAACGTTTCAAATTCCCACTGTGCCTGGCACCTACGTGGAAGTCAGGTTAAAGACTCTCAAAAGAAATCCAGTGATAACATGTATCTTATAAAAAGAACCCCGGGACGAACATTAAGATGTCTGATGATAGCAGGAATGCTGACTATTTTGACAGGCTCTAAATAGCCCTACCTGCCAAATGCAACAGTTTTGGGGCGGGGGAAAAAACAAAAATCTATAAATGCCAGTTGAAAAGAGAAGGGGACAGTTTTTAATTTTTGGAATGCCATTTTCAGGGAAAACACCAGAAGACTAAAAAGTGTTTGAATAATATTGAGATACCAAATTCACAGCCACATGACTTGCTTAGAACACCCAGCTTAATCACTCATATTTTTCACATGATCTTTAAATAAAATGCATTTCATTTTATAAGCATAGTGGCAAAATCTAATTGCTCTTTCTTTTCCTGACACTAACCGGAACACTGATAGACAGAACTGTTACTTTCATTGATTTGCAATTCCCAAGATCTATTTCCCTCAATGGATTTCTAATACTCCCAGTTTTGGAAAATGGGTATGCAGAAACCTGTCTACAGATGCCTTTTGTTTGGGTAGCAATGAAAAACGATTGTAGCAATTTACTATTAACATTTAAACATTACGTTAAGGGAATGGGTCAAACGGAAAATGAATTATTTCCAAACTTGTATCTACAAATACATGAAAAGTGAGGTTGAGGGAGCATGTTTCATGCCTGGTATCTGCATCATGTTGATTCCCCTGAATATTAATTAAGGATATCTAATAAGCCTTGAAAAACCACCCACCTCAGACTAGGTTAAATCCACTGCTAAATCCCTTTCCCATAGATTTCCCAAGGCTTCTTCTAGGCAAATCTTTTCTGTTGGCATGAAGAAGGTACCAAACAACACAGTCTCCCAGTAAGCGTCCTTAAAATGCTTGTTATTGTTGATTAGAATGCTAGAAATCCAACAACAAAATTTTTTCAAAGATACATGGATCAGATTTCCATGATAATTAAAGTTCACAGACTATTTTACATTTTAATGTGCCGGTAAATCTTTTAAAGGGGACAAATCAATGTAATTCCACAAATTCCTCCTTTTCTCTCCAGAAATTCATTCACAACTATTTTTTTATTGCCTTATGAGTCACCATGCCAACCTATGTTAGAATGATTAGGGATGAGGCAGAAGAAGAGTGGGGAACCTTGACCATGGGCAGAAACAAACAGCTGCTACTGTTGATAAAATGCAAGGCACAGAACGTGCGCAGATAAATGTTACACCAGAGGCTATAAAAGGGAGAGAGTAAAGAATGCTGCAAACACCTAAGATTTAGTCAATAAGATGCTTTTTAAACTAGCTGTAAGGATTTTTTTTTGCTTTATCTTACCTACACGGTGGCTGTAAAGACACCATGTTGTATCATGACTGAATTCCTCAACTACGTGCATCTTGTGTTTTCTTGTGTGTGTGTGTGTGTGTGTGTGTGTGTGTGTGTGTGTGTATACACACACAAGGGAGAGCATGAACGCAGTCCCCCAGGACCACAAAGGATGCAGTCGAGTTTCCCACATTTGGGGAAATTGCAGGGTCGGCACATCCAGAGTGAAATAGAAAAGCCTCACCCTGGGAAAACCACCTTCTTGATCATGGTATCTCCCCTGCCAGGTAAGTAATTTTTGTGTATATTTCTTTAAAAATAGGAACCAACCAGGTATTCAGCTTTGAGAGCTTAGCTCTTTGAGAAAATACCAAAAGATAATTGAACCCTGTGGTTCAATGATTACACAGGATGGTTACAGTCTCCGACCATGTCTATGCCAAGGAAATCACTGGTATTTCGCATATATATGTATATATATTTTGGATCCTGCTTTTTGAGCTTTATGTTCCTATTTCACTCCTCTCCGTATTTGGGGGTCACTTCTACTGGCCTCTGCTGACAAATGGTTACTTCCACACTAGTGGCTTATCTCCCTGGCCCAGTATATGCAGTGTAAAACCCTGACCCTATGAATTAGACTCTACAGAACCCGCATGGATTTTAAAAAACCGTTTATACCATAAAGTCTGTAATATTATGAATGTAAGAAGCATTCACATTACTTGTTACCAAAACCAAACCCCCTGCCATGGGGTGAACTTGGACTCAGGAACCTCACACAGTGTCCCTGCGCCAGACACTGCAAACGTTTACAAGGAGCAGATAAGCCAGGGAGGTATATTTTCCCTCGTCTGAGCCGCAGATGGGTTTGAACCGGTGGCAGACCCGTTACCAGTCTAACGCTTACCCGACAGCGCCACCAGGGCTCCTTTGCACTAGCAGTGGAGGGTGCTTTTTGTTATCAATCATTCTAGGAACCATTTTTTAAATGACTGAAAATAGTTGTGTCATTAAATAATATATATCATCCCCTCCGCAAAGCACAAAACACTTTTATAGAGAAGATAAACCTGTGAAAGAAAAAGGAGCATTTAATTATTTCTGAATAGACAATACCTGTTTTAATGGCATATTTTAGAGTGGTTCGGCAGTTCATCAAAATGTCTTCCAAATTTTGCGGTTGGTCTGCTAATTCCCAATTATACTCTTGAAGAAGCTCATTAGGGTAGTGGAAATCAATCACTTTGGTTGATCTATCGAAATTTTTCACCACATACTGGAGCAAAATGTCCATAACATCTTGCAGAAACGCCAGAGTGGGCCTTTCCCCACCGCACGCCGGCAGCAGATCTAAAGAAGGGAATGCAAAGGCCGCCTTTTAATTTTAACGGGAATAACCCAGCACTTGGTCTGGCAATGTCTCCTCCAACAGAGGTTTTGTGCGCAAAACAACAAAGGCAAGGGAGACAGGGAGCTTTTCTTAAGGGGGCTTGTTTTTCAGTGACGACGGTGTAATGAGAAAAAAATTACAATTCCTAACCCCCAAGTTAATTTCTGTATTTCAATAACCAACGTCCCTTTTCTGGTTGTTTTTTCCGAAGAGGACGAAATTCCTCTAGCCCACAGGGTCGCATCCTAAGTGTTATTTCCCAGTAAATCATCTAGAAATTTGGATGGGAACACCTCCCGCCAGAGACGCCTGAGGAATGGCTTCCAGCAAACCAGACACAACGGAGCACCCAAAGGGAAGGCTCTCTGGCCCAGGACGAAGACCCGCTGGTCCCCAAGTCGGCGTGGGTGCTCGGCGCGCATCGGGGTGACCCAAGGTGTTAAGCGCCCGGGCGCAAAGCTTCGCGTTCGGGCCTCGCGGGAAAGGACATGTTGTGCTGTGAATGGGAGCTACACGCTATTGACAAAGTCTCCGCGAGGCTGAATTGACCGGCTCCGGAGCTGGTCCTTTAAGAGGCTCCAGCGACCTGGGGAAGCTGACCTCCAGCTCAGATGGCCCCAGGTGCTAGCGTCGCCAGCAGCACTCCCACTTCCCACCCCGGGGTTGCTTTCCGGGAAGAGACCCTCCTTGGAAGGGGGCGCCCAGCGCCTCGCAGAACCCAGGCTCGGAGCTGGCTAGGATTGGGCGGCCCAGCTTTGGTCGCGTTCAGCCTCGGATCCAGGCAGAGCCCACCTCCGCCCGCCACCTGGGAGCCTGGGTGCAGCCTGTCCGGCGGGGGCCGCGGCCGCGAGAGGGGCAGCCGCGCGCCGGGGCGCCGACGGGCGCCTGTACCTGTTGCGTGCAGCAGCGTGTAGTTGACCTCGGCCTTGGGGCAGCTGCAGGGTTTCTGGTCACAGGCGCAGACGGGCTTCCCAGCGGCGGCCCGCGGGGGCTCGCTGCCAACGCTCTCCGCCGGCTTCTCGGCGTCGCCATAGAGCAGAGCTGGGCAAAACCACAGAGCGTGGCCGCGGTGAGTTGCCCGCGCCGCGCGGCTCCCTACCCGTCCCGCCCCTAACAAAGGACCCGCGCCTCGAGTCGAGGGGGGCGCCCGAGGTGGGCAGACAGCTTCGCCCGCACCCCTCTGCTGGGACTCGGACACTTACCGCACAGCTTGTTGCCAATGCCGCCCGTGAACTTCTGGGCCACCTGGCACCAGGCTCTCGCTGGAAGGCGAGGCGCATCAGCAGACCGAGAGGCAGAAAGAGAAAAGCAGACCGGCAGGTGAAATGTGCTTCTACCTGAACCATGTCAATAAACTCTGGGCGCGAGAAAGGGGCTCCTGCGTGCGGCCTGACCGCCCGGGATTCGGCAGGAGCCGGGTGCTGGCACTGGAGCCCCGGGCTCAGAGCTCTGTCCTAAGGAGCAACCACCGGGGTCTTAGGGACGAGTCTTCCCGGCGCTCTTGTTTCAGGTGCTGCCTTCCCGGCCTCGCCTTGGCTACTTTTCGACACACCGAGGCTGTCCTCTGGTTCCCAGACTCTCCTTTCCAACACCCAGTCTCTCTTCTTCCCCGCGCCACTACGTCCCTCCCTGGGATCCAGACACCAAGATGGTGGAAGCGTCCCAGCCTCACAGAATTTGGTGGCAGGGAGACTCCGTCTGCCGTCTATGGAAGCTTGTCTGCCACAGCGTGAAAACGCTCTTCTCTTCGGGTGTCTTCCCCGGGGACGTGGGGCTGGCGGGGGCTCAGGTCTCTTGGGCGGTCAGGCAATGCCCCACCCCAAGACCAAGGCTCAATAATGGAAGTTTCAAGCCGCAGGTGGGCCCCCACCACCTTGTCTTCAAGGTAGCCCGGCAAATCTCAATCTTCCCACCGAGCTGCCCGCTGCACATCCCGGGTCGCTTGCTTACCTGTGCCGGGGTTCTCTGGATCCCCAGAGCCATCTTCAGACCCGAAGGACCAAAAGCCGGAGCCCGGTGATGCCATCTGCGCTGCGAAACAGGAGCAGGTCGGCCGCGGAGTGCGAACTGCCGGCGAGCTGCCCTGCGCGCGCGCGTGCGTGGCGGGAGGAGGGCACAGAGCGGGGACCAGCGCGGTCGCGCAGCAGAGGGTGGGTGTCACACAGGGACAGGGAGCGTGCGTGTCAGCGTGTGCGTGCGCGGGCGTGTGTGGTGGGGTTAGGGCTTAGGGCCCTGCTAGAGCTGTGGACGCCGGGAGGGGGGGTTGTTAAATAGGCAAGAACCTCCAGGGGTCCTTGAAGCCAGGAGACAGCGAAGCGCTGAGCACCCAAACAGTCTAGACGGAGAGGGAGCCCAGGGAGGCTGGGTGAGGGGGCGGCCGGGAGAGGGGGCTGAATCGTGAGTGCCAGGCGCGAGCGGGAGTCAGCCAGTGGGTGGGAGGCGTGTGGGCAGGTGCCCAGCGGGCTGCCGCGTGAGCTGTCCAGGGTGCTAACGCAGACGGCGGCTCAAGGACCACAGCAGAGACGGGAAGGGTGACCGTGACTAGTTTCATACACGCATAGCTGGGTGTCTTTTCTGAGGTCGGGCTCCCGCTGCGGGGAAGGAGGCGCGAACGCGCCAACTTCCTGCTTGAGAGTGCTGAGGTCGCGGCAACCTGGAGAGCCCGGGTCCGTTCGACCCAAGTTGAGTCAGGTGCGGTTCCGAAGCTTGGAGAAGGGACCGTGGGGGTTGGAGGAGGATGGGCATCAATGACGGATGGGCTCATTTCAGCTCCTTAGTAGAGCTTTCCGCCTGTCTACAGAGAAGTGCCCTTCCTACGCAGCAGAGCGCGCGGTCTCAGGACCCGCCGTCCAGGTTTTGACTGGGGAGAAAGACTGCGGATTGAAGCAATTCGAATCCACGCTGGAGTCTAGCTCGGGGGAACGCGGGGCTAGAGGGGAAATAAACCATTGGAAAGTTCTCGGAAGGGGACGGGAGATAGAGAGGTCAGAGAATGGCAGCAGGATTGACAAGAGAAAGGGGCTGGTGTTTTCGGTGACCTTGACCGAGGTGGCCTGGAAGGGACCGCTTGCTTACGTTGTGATGGGAACCGGTGTGTGCGTGGGGGGAGGCATGCACAAGGTGTCCACCTATGCCAGCTGGGCTTTCCAAAACTCAAGGAGGAAGGAAGGCACTGCTTGCTGGGCCCCCACTCACGAATCATCACAGTATTGGGCAAGAGGGCAGATACTCCCTATTTCTGACTACCTTGTGGAAAGAGGGCGGAGACGAGGGGTCTTCAGAACCTCTTTGAGTCCCTACCAGAGGATTTCCTTTCTCTAGCCTCTGTGAAACAAAGGGGGCACACGCTGAAATTCCGGGGCCCCTAGGGTTCTCATTACTAGCATGAAGCGTACCTTGCAGTCCGGAGGTCGCTGAAAGAGGGCGAGCGTGACCCCCCACGGGAAAGGGCTTATGTTCAGTCTCTGTGACGACTGCTTGCCAGAGCCTAGGGTGAACGCTTGTCATTGTCATTGCTCACAAGCCATTGTTCCTCCATCCTCCAGCATCAGTGACCATAGCTTCTGCCAAAGCCATGACCCTCGGATGGATCCTTGAGTCTCTGAAGGACCTCGAGCTTCTGTTAAGGAGGTAGTGTCACCAGGCCCTGGTGTGACCAAGGGCAGGCCCATGTCCTGTGTCCCCAGGCCCTTGGGGGGCCTGGTCAATTTTCTCCACAAAGCGTGATCTTCCCACGAGTCCCGGAGGAGTCTCAGAGTCCGTTGGCCGTTTCCGAAGAAGGCGTGCTGAGGAGTGTACTGTCCATACCCGAAGGGAACCCGGACTGTGGTGATGGGTGATGGGCCCCTCTCCAGCTCTGCAGAAGCAGTATAGCTCCAGTGGACGCAGGCAGCAGCCCCATGGTGGGAAGACGTCGTGGTTCAGCCCTTTGCATCCCGGGCCAGGCTTCACAGCAGGAGAGAACGGTCCTTTGTTTAAATCTAAGGCAGGCCCATTAAATGTTTCTCTTTAAGCAAGCAGGAGGTATTCCAGAACCTTTCTGACCGAGTGCACGGACTGAAAAACGAAGATTCTCATACAAGAGTGTAAACACACACGCAGAGGATTAAATGGATGAACACTCCAGGTAGGAATCTCACACCATAATCTAAAACAAAACAAAGAAACATTTAACAGGATGACCGGAAATATTCCCGGTTAAACTCCATTCAACCCCACCCAGCCCCCTCCCTGGGCCCCGGTGCTTTGAATATAATGTGGTATTTCCTTTTTTTTTTTTTTTTTGATTAAACACACTCTACTTCAGATGCAGTCTGGGATCTGTCTCTCCTTCTCACTCTCTCGACAGCAATTTGCTTTATAAAGACCTTCATTTCGCAAATGAGCCACTCCTCCCAGTCTTGGCTGGAGGTTGGACAGAACAAAGGGCTCCGGGAGGTAATAGTTACAGTCATTAATTCACAAAGGAGCCAGCTCCCGACTGGGGGGTAGGGGGCGGACCAGTGGTGGTGGGAAAAGCTTTCCCAAACCCTTCCGGGAACAAGGGGAGAGGGACCCGCGCTTCAGGGACCACCAGCCCAAGGCGGTTTCCTTAAATGACCTGCAGTGGTTTGTCCGGATTTCGCCTTGAAGGCCCGGAACACCAAGCGTGCTGGGTACTACATTTCCTCTGCGTCCTCGTGCGGAAGAACAAGAAGACCCCAAACCGGATACAAAAGGAAGCCTGGAAAGCCCAGGCTTTTTCAAAACAGGAACGGTTTCAGGAAAGACACCGCCTTCATAAACGGGCAGGCTGGGCGGGCGAGGGCGCCGGTCCGCCGCGGACCCCCGGGACACCTGGACTGAAGGATGGTGGGCCGAGAAGTGGAGCTCGGTTTCTCCCGAGGGTGGGCCTCCGGGTGGTGGGCTAGGCAAGACGGGCAGGAGCGGAGAGGGCCAATCACTCTCTCCCCTCCCCAGTGTGGTTCGGTGACCTGCTCCTAAGCCCGGGCCAAGCTCCCCAGCACCCACGCTGTGGGTCTGCACCTGCGAGTAAGGGAGTCCTCCCTACTGGCCCTCGGCCAGAGCCTGGGGCTGCAGGCTCTGCCCTGGCTGTTGCCGAGCTGGGTGTTTTCCATCGCACATCAGAGAGGTGGTAGGAGCCTTCTCTGGGGGCCTTTCAATTGCTACTCTTTTTGGGTGGGAGAGAAAGCCACGCCTGAAGACCAAGAGCACAACACACGTTCTCAGCCGCTGCGCGCGCCCTCACCTGCTCCTCGGAGATATCTCAAGCGTCTTCTGTTGCTGGCGGTGTACGTTGAACCTGAAAGGCACCCGCAGAACTGACAAGCTCCCTTACCACCCAGAACCCCTCTCCCAGTGCAGTCGTCCGTCCGCGGAACCACCTTACCGGGCCGAGACTTTTACTTAGAAGAGCTTGTCCCGGGTTTTAAACATCCTTCACCTGATCTTAATTAACACTTCAGTGCGAGCAGCTGAGCTCGCCCCAAACCTGCAGACTAGGTAACTCTTAAAGTGTAACCGTTTAGTGCTGGGTCAAGAAATCTTGGATTAAAAAAAACAACCCAAAGCGTTACCCCTACAGGGTACTCAGACTTCCAGTTGGAGAGAAAGGCCCGGCAACCCTCCAGGACGCAGTAGAATTGCTCCTTGGAGCTGCCGGTGTTCCCGGTGATTAAGAGCCACCTGCCTTGAGTTAGCAGCCTGAACATTTGGTAGAATCCAGTGCTGTTAGAAAGACCCGTGACAGGGTTTCCGAGGCTGTAGAGCTTTATGGGAACAGAGTAGAGAGCCAAATCTTTCTCCTGAAAATCAGTTATCAGAGGGCCTGAAGATTGTACTTGGGTAGCAAATACGTGTTTTCAGCCATTTTGTATGTCCGTTTGGGGCGGTTGTGGGGTACAGAGGTGGGGCTAGGGGAGGAATTGTTTCCCAATAGAGACCTCCCTTCGCCCCACTCCCTGGGACCTAGTCACCAGTACAGCCAGACACTAGGAGCAAGGGCCCAAAGGTCTGCTTGACCAACCCCCAAGACTTTCCAAGGCGAACTTCCTTTTTTTAGTAACTTTAATCTCCACAAAAAGGAAAGGGCAGACGTTTGCTTTACGGTTCCTATCCAGGCCTCTCCCCCACATGCGTTCTTCCAGGACACAGCCAGACTATCCCAAGGGCCTGGGGCAGCCATTTCCGAGAACGGCGACATCTTTGGGGTCCGAGGGTAGGCGGGGTCGGAGCTCAGCAGAACAGACCGGTGCACAGACAAGTGAGCAAAGGGATGCAATAGGGGCCGGGAGCAAGAGAAACCCCCACCCCCACCCCCGCCCACTGGCCCGCGGGTTAGAGGGGAGGGTGTGGGAGGGCGGGGAGGAGGCTGGGCTCCGGAGGTCACACGAGGGCTCCCAGTTCTACTCTCTGGTCAGCCAACAATGCGCTGGGCGCTCGGGGGAGAGGCCAGGGAGTCTGCGCTTCCTGGCGCCAGCGCCTGAGAACAGCATTGGCCCCGTAGACCCGCCGGCTCCGAGTCCTTGCACGGCGGCAGCCGCGTCGCGCACTACAACTGCTGGACCAGGCGCCTGCGCTGGGAGGTTTTGCGCAGGAGTCTCCTGTAATCATAGGGATTGGCTCCGGGCCCATTCTCCTGTTCTTCAGGGCTCCAGGTCGCCCCGTACCTGTAAAGGGAGACCCAGGGCCAGAGCATCAGAAGCGCCACCACGCGAGGCTCACCCCTTCCAGCCAAGCTAGACAGTTCCTTTCCCCCTCGCCGTCCATCACGAGGTCCAGATAATGGCCACAACAGATCTCGAATCCTTTTCTCACTGGGCTTTCAAAACAGCTTAAGAACAGAGCAGGGCCTGTCTTGGGTTTCTCAAGGGAAGTTGTTCGGATGAGAACCTTGGGTGGTGTCATTTAGAAAGGTGACCTTCAAATAATTTGCAATCAACAAGCACACCTGTATTTTTTTAGTATCGTAATTTTTTTTAATCGTAGTGTTTACGCTTTGAACTGCGACCCACAAGGTGGCAGTTCGAAACCACCAGCAGCTCCGCGGAGTAAAGACGGGCCTTCTACTCCCATTAACAGTTACATTCTCAGCAACCCACAGGGGGTCGCTATGAGCATCAACTCCATGGCAGTAGGTCAGTAAGCAGTTTCTAAAAGGTAGTATGGTCCAAAAAGAAAATTCAAGATGTATACATCCATCAGTTTGCATTTTAGAAGCTGGTCAAATGCTTTTTAAAAGTGCACCCCCCAAAAAAAACAAACCTATCCCTTCAGCCTCTAACTGAGCAACCACTCGTAAAAGATGCAGCTGTAGTTCATCTTAAAAGCATACTCACTGAGGTTGCTGCGTCAACTTTCCTGAATCCTACTGGGGCAAACTCTGCTACTATTTACCTTTACACTCTGCAACTGCCTGCCTGCCTGCGGAGGAGCAGGCTGCTCATCAAGATTAACTGATTCCTTCATTCTCCCACGGAGCACCTACTACATGACAACTACCAGTCTAGGTGAATTGTGAACAAAACTACTTTCTCAGGGGCTTTATAGCTGAGCATGGGAGAAAATGACAAACAACCTTTGTGTAATGCAGAGCATGCAAGCAGGCGAATAGGAAAGGAAGATGGCACATGCAAGCTCTTTCATAGAAGGGGTTTGGACAGGATAAAGTGACATGTAGTGAGAGACCATCATGAAGGAATGAGGTGAGTCATGCAACTCTCTTGGGGGACGGTTCCTCTTTTTAGTGCCATGTAAGGATCCCAAGACCAGAGTGTGCACAGGGTGTCGGATGGAATGCGCAGAAGGGGAGTACTAGATACTTTAGATGATCTGAGATGGTGGCAAGGATACAGATTAGACTAAGACAAGCTGGAGGATTCTGAGCAGAACTCCTGTAGTTGGGGCACTTCTAAGCTCCAGCATGTTGCATCTTTTTCATCACGAGAGGACAAATACATCGACAGGATGGACTGAACCGTGTGCCCCAAATGAGCGGTGTAAGTCCTAACTCCTGTACTTGTGAGTAGAGGGGCAGCAGAGGAGGAAGAGCCTTTGACGAGATGGACTGACACAGGGGTTATAACAATGGGCTCCAACAAAAGAACAATGGGGAGGGTGGCATTGAGGGCAGTGTTTCCTTGTCTGGTACCTCTGATGGCTCCGAGCTGGACCCACCTGGATAGCACCTAACCACAACCACATACTTGTGAGTAGGGTTTTGTTGTTGTTATTTGTCTTTGGTACTGTGACTGAGATCTTATCAGTGTGAGGTGTGTCCTAAAGCAATCACTTTTTGAGATATAAAAAGAGCAGACTGGGTACAGGAGAAGCAAGCAGGAAGAGGGAAAAGATAATACCAGATCGTGCCCTCGAAAGAATGCCGAGAAGAAAGCCTTGCTTATCCCAGAGCAAACAGAGAGAGAACCTTCCCTTAGAACTTGGATTTTTAGCTACCTCAGCTGTGAGAGAATAAATTTCTATTAAAGATAGCCACTTGTGGTTTTTGGGTTCTGGCAGCACTAAGAAACAGAGATAATCTTTCGGGGGGCAATGGGCAGAAGTCATAGTTCAGGTACCGAACCTAAAACCCACTGACTTTGAGTCAATTCCAATTCATTGTGACCCACAACCCTTACTGGAGCTGACAGCCTCATCTTTCTCCGGAGGAGCAGCTGGTGGGTTTCGAAGCCAGTCTTGGTGATCAGCCCCACAGTTCCTGTAGCTCTGGTACAAGCAACAGAGATGATCATAACCACCACCTAGAATGCCTCTGCGATGCCATGTGTGCTGTTGACTGCATCACGTACATTTCATTTAATCTTCACAACAAAATGGGTCAGTAACTATTAAGTCCTGTTGTCGATGTGGAAGATCAGGCTTAGAGAGGTCAGGGAGCATGATTAAGGGTACTCAGCTGTCTGACTAGTACCTCTTTGTTGACCATCATGCCACGCTGTAAAGGAGAGGAATGTGGGGCCCCAAGGTGCCTTAGGCAGACAGCGTGTTTTTTTAGAAGTTTGGACCTATAGCTTTGGTGTCCATCATTGCCTCTATTTCTTGTATACTATGTTTCTGTCTTGTTATAATACCCTCAATCTCAAAACATCACCAATATGTGTTAGGAAAATAAAACAAAAAACTAATCAAAGTGATAAAGAAACTACTCAGGTTTGTATTACTTACTCCATGTCAAATAAAGTCTGTGGCAAGGTAAGAAATCAAGTGCCAAATACCAATTTCAATGTATTACTATTTTGCTCTGATTAACACTGGTTCTGAGAAATTACACAGCATAAAAATCAATAAGGGATTAAAATTACATTTTTCTAGAGAGTGAACACAGATTTTGGATGTGGTTTATTGCTTATAATTAGGAAGATTGGATAACTAACTCATCATCTGACTTGGGGGATTTTTGAGGGCAATATTAATATTATTAATAATTATACCAAGAAGAGAAGTATGAACTGAGAGTGTCCTGGGCAATTCAGAAGGTCTGATTACCCTAGTATAGTACTTATGGTTTTACTTTTAAACAACATCTCACACGTAAGGCAATGTTCAATACTAATTTGCTGTCCATGTGTGAAATGAAATTGCTTACGTAATAGAAAGGTGAGTATAAAAGGGAAGTTCTGTATTTTAAAGGATAGTTTATTACCTTTCAGCAGCCTTAGAGCATTGATTCTGGAGTTCTCTTTGTGGTCTTTGTTCTTTAGAACTATGCTCGCATTCTTTTGGTCCAGAATGACTGGGTAAGAATTCCTTATAATAAAAATCTTCCAAATCTAATAATTTTCCCTCACTGTAAATAAAGCACACAAACACATCACATAGCATCCATTTCATTTTTGACTCAGTTAAACTTATGGGGTACTTCTCTTCTTCTTTTACAACATGTACTTCAATTTGGAGACAACATACAGATGTTCACATTAAAAAGAAGTTTTCAGGTGTGCAGAAACAGGAGTTAGCATAAATTAAAAAGGAAAACCCTCGTCGTTTCTTACCCGGAAGAGTTTTCTTCCCTGAGGAGCTCTGCCTGCTTCTTTGTCACTCAAATTGGCACAAAACTAGCAGCTCCTTGACTAGCTGGTGATGCCGTGCTCCAGGGGAAGCCGCCTACATCAGGGCTCCCAACTGACCCCTGAAAAGCGAAGCTTCGTGCATGAATGCACACCACTTCCATCCAAGGCGGCATGACCTCAATTGACTCCCCTCATCAATAACCTCTTGTCCTCCTCCTGTCTCTTGGTCTTCCAGTCATTAATTTTGGTGTTAGAGTTTAATTCCAGTGCATGATGTACACACAGAGGTGGGTCCTCATCCATTTAAAATTCGTGGATGTACCCAAGTTGCAGTGCTAGTTCCTGCGGTGTTCAGTAGGACGTGAACAGTTAGGTGTGGAAAACCACTGTGTGTTACAGTGCCTCTAGGAACAAAAAGTGTAATTTGTATTACAGGTACCAATTTACAAGTAAATTTCCAGAAGGCCACTAATCTATAAGTTGAGAACGCTGTGTCCACTCATACTCAGTGGAAGAATCCCACTCTTTGGGAACTGGTTGCCATGGACATTGATTAAAAGACTACCATATATGTGCTTTCACATACAGGTGAAAGTTGCACACTTAATAAGGAAGACGGAAGACGACTGGATGCATGTGAATGACGGTGCTGGGGAAGAAGACTGAGAGCGCCATGGCTGCCAAAGAACAGACGAATCTGTCTTGAGAGAGGCGCAGCCAGAGTGCTCCTGAGACGTCAGGATGGCAAGACCTCGTCTCATGCACTCTGACGTGTTGTTAGGAGAGACCAGGCCCTGGAAACATCACCTTGATAACGCAGCAGGGCAGCGGAAAAGAGGAAGGCCCTGAATAAGGTGCTGGATGCAGTGACTGCAACCACGAGCGCAAACACAGAAATGATGAAGACAGGACAGGACTGGGCCGGGCTTCATTCTGTTGTACTTTGGGTTGCCGTGAGTCAGATCAACTCGATGGCACTTTACAACAAGAAGAAACATCTGCTACTTTCATACTCTTTGCTTTTTCGCACATGCCATTATCCAGTAGGCACAGCTCTGCCTTGGTGAATAAGCATGATCGAATGTTTTGCCCTAGCTCCAACCCTCATTGTCTATGTAAATAGGGTCCAGTCACTTAAGTTTTTAACCTACGCAAGTCAACAATCTATACATTTTGGTCTAAAAAGCTGCCCCGTAAATGAATACTTTATTTTTCTTAAAGTATTTTAAATTCTATACCACTGGGTAAATGAATGATGCTACTAATAGGGTGACCATGTGCTCCTTGGGGATTAGTGATAATAAAATGGTAATACTGTCTCTAAAGTGGACCAGGGACATATGCAAACTGTAGCTATACAAATGCATTTTGAGCTTGCACTTAATTGTAAACCCTAATATTTGAACAATTAGTTCTTTTTATTAATTAAACACTTTTGTTGGGGGCTCTTACTTCTCTCATCACAATCCATATGTTCATCCAGTGTGTCAAGCACATTTGCACATAGGCCGCCATCATCATCTTTTTTTCCCTCTTTTTAATCTTTTAAAAAAATAATTTTATTGGGGGCAAATGGCATTTTAGAAGTCTAAATACAGGCATGTACATATGTAAATATATTTATATATGACGATGTGGAAATAATCTATGTGCATATATTTATAGGTCTAGTATTAAGGTACCAGATGGACATTGGGCCTCTACTCAAGTACTCCCACAATACAAGAACTATTAAACTGCCATTCCATGATGCTCACTTTCCTGACACGATTGCTGAAGATAAAGTGGATGCATAAGCACATGTAGCAAAGAAAGCTGATGGTGCCTGGCTAACAACAGATATAGCGTCTAGGATCTTAAAGGCTTGAAGATTAACAAGTGGCCATCTAGCTGAGAAGCAACAAAGCCCACCGGCCTGTGTGATCACAAGGTGTTGATAGGATCAGGTATCAGGCATCAAAGAACAAAAAATCTTATCATTGTGAAGGTGGGGGATTGTGGAGTGGAGATCAAAAGCCCATCTATAGGCAACTGGATATCCCCTTACAGAAGGGTTGTGGGGAGGAGATGAGCCAGTCAGGGTGCAGCAGGATAACACCAATGAAACACACAACTTTCCTCTAGTTCTCATACTTCCTCATCCCCACTATCATGATCCCAATTTTACCTTACAAATCTGGTTAGACCAGAGCATGTAAACTGGTACAGATAAGAACTGGAAACAGGGAATCCAGGACAGATAACCCCCTCAGGACCAATAATGAGAGGGGGGGGGAAAGGGGAAATCAAGCACAATGATCTACATATAACCCCTGGGGGATAGACAACAGAAAAGTGGGTGAAGGGAGATGTAGGATAGTGTAAGACACGGCAAAATAATTTATAAATTATCAAGGATTCCTGAGGGAAGGGTGGCGGGGAGGGAGGGGAAAAATGAGGAGCTGATACCAAGGGTTCAAGTAGAAAGCAAATGTTTTGAGAATGAAGGTGGCAACAAATGTACAAATGTGCTGGACACAATGGATGTATGTGTGGATTGTGATAAGGAGTTGTATGAGCCCCCAATAAAATGATTTAAAAAAGAAAAAAAAACTGTTTTGAGAATGATGATGGCAATAAACAATGTGCTTGACACAATGGATGTATGTATAGATTGTGATAAGAGTTTTATGAGCCTCCAATAAAATGATTAAAAAAAGAGATAGAATTGGGGTCATGATAGTGGGTGGAGGACGCATTAAAGAACTAGAGGAAGGTTGTGTGTTTCTTCGGTGCCATACTGCCCCGACTGGCTCGTCTCTTCCTTGTGTCCCTTCTGACAGGGGGTGTCCAATTGAGGACTGATGGGCTTTGGGTCTCCACTCTACCCTCCCCCTCACTCCATTGATATGGTTTTGTTTTGTGTCTTTGATGCCTTCTACCTGATCCCATTAACATCTCACGATTACACAGGCTGGTGTGCTTCTTCCAGAATAATTAGTTCTTATGATGTGGCCCTACTCCTGCTATAGCAACGTATGCTGACTTTGAAAATCAGATGGTGCCTAGATGGTGCCTGGCTATCAGAAAGAACAGCATCTGGGATCTTGACTTGTTTCAAAAGAAGCTGCCATTTAAATGAGATGCTAGCTAAGCCTGCACAGAAGCAGCACCCTGACCAGTGTGATCAGAGCTATTAACAATAAAATCCAAGATCAGAGTGGGAGATTCTATTAGAGCTTAAATTATGAACACCCAGTTCACAGAAGGCTGTGAATGATAGTGAATGCCAAAGTCCATCTAGAGAGCTCCTCTATGGACTTTGTCCCCATGGGACTGCCCAGGTGCCCTGAGCAAGGGCGTGACTAGGCTTTCCCCTAGACAGAGTGCATTGGAACGTGGGTTATTATTTTAACCTCACTGCCACCAAGCAACCTTTTCAGGCAAGGTAGAACCGTCCTTGTGAATTTCCAAGACTATAACTCTTTACAGGAGTAGAAAGCCTTGTCTTTTTCCTGAGGAGAGATTCGTGGTTTTGAAATCTTGACCTTGTGGATCACGGCCCAACACATCACCACTACACCTCCAGGCCTCCTCCACTGCATATATAGTTAGTGGAAAATTTAACATCTTACCATCTGTTTTCCTTTTTACCCATTTTCAACCTGTTCCTGCTTTATTACATTCTGCTATCTTCTGTGTTTTCCTCTGTTGTATTTACTGTTTGTTTTTTGTTGTTGTTGCTGTTTCATTTTGTGTGTGTGTGTTTGGAGATATCTACTTTTACTAGATATAAAAGATGCATTAGAAGAATCACTATCACCTTTATATGACGAGCTACTTCTTTGCTCCTACTTGGCATTTTTCTTTCTTTTTAAAAATCATTTTATTGGGGGCTCATACAACTCTTATCACAATCCATACACACATCAATTGTGTAAAGCACGTTTATATATTCGTTGGCTTTATTTTTTTAAACTTCAATGATTTTCTTCATATGCAACTAAGAATACGTAAACCTATAGAGATAAGAGTCAGACTGAAAGTTTCTTAGGGTGCGGCAGAGAAGGTTGGGGGAGATGAGGAGCTGAAAATAATTGTGGATACAATGATGAATAAACTGTTCTAACATTGATTGGGCTGATGAATGCATTCCTCTAATATACGTAAGTATTGAATTGTAGGTTACATGCATTAGATGTCAATCAAACAGTTTAAAAGTAAAATAAAAGCTTTTCTCACGAAGAGGTAGAGCATTGAAACAGTAAAGTATAGACAAACGGAAACGTTCCAGGACAAAGGAATTATTGTGAATTTACTTTGATGAGCTAGAGAAAACTCTTCTCTTCTAAACCCCGGAGATGGTGCGTGTGTAATGACAGCAGCAAAAGAATCCAGCCATGTACTCCAGCAGTGTGGGTGCATTCCCCCCATTGTCTCCGCTATCCCAAAAGAACAACCACGGCCAAATATAACTGGTTCTCTTGCAGAGATGGAGCGGCTTGGAGAAGCGGAGAAGAACCTGTCAACGATCATGTAACCAACCGGCGCATAGCAAGCCTGCCACTGGAGCCTCAAATTAGGGTTCTCTGCTCACTATCCCAACTCCCTCAATTCAGTCCAACCTGTAACCATTAATCCTTAGTCCAGCATAGTTTTAAACGTTTTCCGTTGTTTTATACTCACCTTTTCATAACATAGCATGTAGAACTCCCATCCTCTGTCAGGTTGTCACACTGTGTGGTCTGCATGTTGTTGTGGGGCAGGAAGCTATACCAATGGCATTCAAACACCCGTCCAGTCACCCACAGTGAACAGTTTTCAGCAGAGGTTCCAGTCTAAGAACCTAGGCTGTCCACTTCTGAGAGATTAGCTCCCTCCTCTTAGGAAGAGCAGGGAACATTTTCTGATATAATGCCAGAAAATGAACCCCTCACATTGAAGGCGCTCACAATATGACTGGGGAGGCGCGACCTCCACAAAGTAGAGCCAGCCTTACTGATGTACACGGAGCCATGCTATCAGGACATCCACCTGCTGATGGGGCCTGCCTCAAAACGAGGAGGAATCGCTGCAGACGTCAATGAATAATCATGATATGTAATGTGTGAATCTAGAAAAATTGGAAGTATAAAATGAAAGATGGACCCTATATAGATAAGTATCCTAGGCAGGGAGTGGGATTGGTCATTTTTGAATCAGAGAATCATAAACTTTCCAATGATGGGATGAGAAATTCAGGAATGGCATCAAATTCATCATCAAAGGAGCATTTCACAATCTATCTTGAAGTATAATGCTTCTATGATAGGTTAATAGCTCTATAAAAAAGACCCATTCACACAACTATTATTCAATTATACATCCTAACCATTGGACCCAGTGAGGAAGAAATTGAAGAAATCTACCACCTTCTTCAGTCTGAAATTGATCACACATGCAATCAAGATACATTGAGAATTACTGGTGATTGGTATGCAAAAGATGGGGGCAAAAAGGAAGAATTAATATTTGGACAAAATACAAGTGGACAGAGAGACAGCATTATGAGAAACAGAGAAAAGGCTGACGCTGAGCAAGATTTCGTTTTGGCGGCGATCCACAATGAACTCTCAAAGAAATAGCAATCAGTCAACAAGATTATGTGTTGCAGTGGGCAAATCTGCTGCACAAGAGCCTTTGCAAATGTTAAAGAGCTAAGACATCATTGTGAAGCTCCAGTGGTCATGGCTCAAGCCGTGGTCTTTTTCAGGTGCCTCAGAACAAGCAAATCTGCCTGGAGGAAGAGAACGGAATGCTCTTTCAAAGGGAGGAGCGTGAGACTTTGTATGTACTTAGGACATCGTATCAGGAGAGGCCATCCCTGGAGACTAGCGTCGTGCTGGATAAAATAGTTAAGAGAAAAGGAAGTAGACTGTCAACGACAGGGATTGACACAGTGGCTGCAACATTGGGGCTCAAACATCATCCAACAGCTGTGAGGCTAGCAGGGGCCTTTGTTTCCTTGTACTGGGGTACCTGAGTCAGAGCTGCGCAAGGGCACCTAACAACAGCGACAGCTAAAAAACATGGCCATTCTCAGCACAGCTCCTTTCAGTAATTTAGATCTCGGGACCAGAGATTGTAGAAGGCACCTGGGATTACTTTTCATGTGTATTGATTTGATCCCAAGAAAGACCTGAGATGCTAGTTATTTGAATAGAGATGTGATATTTTTCTTGTAAATTTAACCACATACACTTTTTAGAAGGACATGCACGGTGTGCAAAGAGCTCTAATTCATAAAGGCTTTACTATTACACCATCAACTTAAAATCAATTTTATAAAGTTGCATAATTAAAATATTAAAACACTCCTCATCATCTCAGGCACTACGATAGCAGACACTGAGAGGGCGGCAGAGTTTTGCAGCTCTCTGTAAATTTAAATGTGCTATACTCCCCAGTGCTGCGATTCAGAGGATGAAACGAGGTGACACCAATGTTACTTTTCTGACAAAAACATAAAAATGATATAAGGAAAGGCTTAGCATGGTTAAAAGAAAAGAAGGGAAACATGGAGAAAACAAGTTTGGAGAAAGATAGTTCACAAGCATAAGCATGCCCACGTTGCCCAAGGAAAATCATACCAATGGGTGACGGAGAACAAATTCTACATGGAGACAGTATAACATGCTCAAAATATCTGACTTCTTTGTGCATGTTCAGGACTGTGCTTATGTCGGTATACGATGGCGTTTAACAGGCTCACAGGGGTATTCTATTCTATTTTAATTCTATTTTCTCTGCAAGCTTTTTGAAGTCCCATCACATCTCGACATGTAAGATTCTTATAAATTATATATAAGCCATATATTTATAATCTAAATGTATCCAGAGACTATTACTTTCCATATCTATCTGCACACACTAGGTGATTTTTAAAGTTTGAACTGAACATAAAGCTTAATACTTTGGTTTGAAAGAGACACCTTATTGCAACCTAAATATACTATTTACCTGTCTTTTCTTGGTCTTCGCTTTTCTTCTTGGATTGACTTCTAAAGAGAATAGAAGAATTTAAAAAAGTAATTGCCATAAATTATGATCTTAATTGTAGATACTAATATTCCTATGAAGATCCATGTTATAAATAAGCAAGTGGGTATAATATTTTCAAAGTTAAAAAATATATAACTTATTTATACTTTATTAATTTTGATTTTGTGATTAGGCCTGGATGAAAATTAACCTTTGTATTCCATATGAAAAGAGAGTTTACCACACAATGACAGGATTCTGTAGGGTTTATTGACCTACAAATGGTAACAAAATGAATTTCTGGGAAGTCCTACAACAATGCAGTTGTGAATTAAGCAGGAGAATTAGATGGCTTTGATGTTGTTTCCTCTCTGATTAAAAGCAGATGAGTGGATATTATAGGTGGGTACACCTGTTCACAAAGAGTATGAAAATATGATTTCATGAACTCATGAGCTCATTCATGGTTTTAACATCGAGTAGCTGGTAGAGGCAAGAGACATGCTCATTTGTAAAGTGTTTTCAGGGTTGAGAACTTGGTGTAGTAAGGCACAAGTTAATATTGAAGCAAATCAATAGCTACATTTTAATTTACACTTCAAATATCAACGAAGCCGTACTTCACCTTATCTTATGCGAAAAGCAACCTTGCTTGTAAGACAACGAACGGGTAATATCATCTTTTATATTTTACTCTCAGCAATGCGTCATCTGTTGGTCTGTCCTAGGGGGGTGACTTGCCCACAGGTTGTGGCTGTGATGCTGGAAGCTGCGCCCCAGTGTTTCAAGTACCAGCAGGGTCACACACGGCTATCATGCCTCAGCGGAGCTTCACGCCTAAGAACAGACTCCGTGGAAGGGAGTGGCCGGGCATTTATTTCTGAGGGATGACCACTGAAAACCTTGCCTGAGGACATTGTCAGATCGGTGCCGCAGACCCTCAATGGGATGGATGACACAGGGCTGGGAACGAAACGGCAGCGGTTAGGACTGCGTGGGTCCGGGAGTGTTGGGTCTGCTGCACGCAGGGCTGCTTTGAGCCAGAGGGGACTCTGGCGCCAGCGACAAGAGCAGACACCACATTTCTTCATGTTTCCAGAGACGGCTCTTCTTTCAAGCTGAGCAAACAAATCTGGGGAAAACTAAATTGTAATTTCACAGACTCTGATGCAGATGTTATGTTGGTTGGCATATGAAAGTACAAGATACACATGGCAATTAATAACGGCTTATAAATATCAGGTTTATATCTCATATACACAGTCCTCTATAGAGACCTCGCGAGTAATTTTTTTCCTCATAGTTTATCATTTGCATTACTCTAAAATATTGACAGCCAAACGGATCATAGTTTCTCTTATTCTGGTTGGATGACCTTTCAGTGGATGCATGAAGAGGAAGCGGGCACTCAAACACATCGGTCTCTGAGTAGACCATTTAGCGAATAACACTATCAGGTCAGGACATTGATTAGATTCCCGCCTTCCTTCTCACTTCCCATGACATCACCCTCCTGACCCAATGCCTTAGGGACCTACATGCTTACCACTAATTCTGACTAGCCCAGCACAGTGGCCAGGACAATAGTCACTGATCCCTGGGCCCAGGCTGGTGCTTTGTTCTTGGTTGTTATTTGACGACAGGGATCCTGCCTCCTTAATCCATTACCTGAAAAAAGTTCCCAGTGATCTTGGTAACCATTTTCTATAGGCCATACCTTTTCTACCCTGTCTTATAGGGTCACTATGCGTCAGAATCGACTCAGTGGCAGTGAGTTGCATTTGGGAACAAAATAGATACCCTGAATCTTAGTAAGGGTGAGATAATTGTGACCAAAGGGTATGCTTTCACTTCTGATAATGTACTAGTTTTCATTTTTCATTTAAGCCACAGATTTCCAGTATCAGAATTTATTAAAATTCTTTACTATATATATCCGTTTAAAAATAACGTGATTACAAAGGAAGTTTCTAGGATGCTGGGACTCATTTATGAGGAAATGTACCATATTTCTCACAGACTGCTTAGATGTTAATAATAAACATTCCACTTCATTTCTGTAATTTCTCATATTGAAAACAGTATCTGTCATTGAAGCCAACACAACCAATTCTTACTTCAGTTGGGGTTAATAAAGGCTACATAGTATCATTTGCTACTCAAATTCAGGTGTAATAGGGAAATATATGGTACTTTTTTTTAATAAACATTTTATTAGGGGCTCATACAACTGTTATCCCAATCCATACACACATCAATTGTGTAAAGCACATTTGTACATCATTCTCAAAACATTTTCTCTCCACTTAAACCCCCGACATTAGGTCCTCATTTTTCCCCTCCCTCCCCGCTCCCCACTCCCTCATGAGCCCTTGATAGTTTATAAATTGGTATTTTGTCATATCTTGCCCTGCCTGACGTCTCCCTTCACCCACTTTTCGGTTGTCTGTCCCCCAGGAAGGAGGTCACACACAGTTCCTTGTAATCGGTTCCCTCTTTCCTACCCATTCTCCCTTTACCCTCCCTTTCTTTTTAAAAAAATTAATTTTGAAAATTTGTATAATATATATAACACAGATTTTGCTAATTTAACACTCTTCTGGTATACAATTTTGTGACCAGTTGTATGAACCACGCTGTGAAACCATCATTTTGCATTGGTAACTTTCCGGTCCCCATAAACAAAAACCCACAGGCTTCCCTACCATGGGTTTCCCCTTTCCTCCATCCTTTCACCACGGTAACCTCGAGAAAACATTGATTTCTATACTTTTGCCTATTATTGTAATTTCATGTAAGTGAGCTCATGCAATGTTTTCTGTTTTTGATTGACGTATTTCACCTACCATGGTGAAAACATTCAGGGTTTATCCATGTTGTAGTATGCACCAAGACTTCATTTTTCTTTATGCAGTATTTTATTGTATGTATGTACCACATTCTGTTTTCCTCTTCGTCCACTGATGGACATGAAGGTTGTATCCTACCTTTTGGAAATTGTGAACAGCGTGAAAACGAACATTGACGTACATGTGCTTGTTCTTGTCACTTTTATGTTCAGGTTCCTTGAGTGTATATAGCTCTAGGAATGAAGTTGTTGGATAACATGGTACTTTGAAATTCAGTTTTCTAAGGAACTGTCAAATTGTTTTCCATAGTAGTTGAACTATTTTGTATTCCCATCAGCCATGGAGAAGGGATCCAGTTTTTCTACATCATCAACAACCTTTGTTTTTCCCTTTTTATCTTCGCCAATCTTGTACGAGTCAACTGGTGTCTCATTGTGGTTTTGCTCTCTATCTTGTGAATGGCTAACGATGTTGAGCAGCTTTTTATGTACTTGTTTGCCATTGGTGGCTTGGTCATTTCCATTCTGTTTTCTGCTGTTCTTTCTAATTAATCGCATAAACTAATATCAAGCAATCTGTTGACTTTTTATTTTCCAGCTGTGTAGGAAAAAAAAAATCAATATTCACTCTTCATCTGTATCCAGATTTTTATAGAGTGACCGTCAAATACGTCATTGTGGTTAGATGCCATTGAATTAGTTCCAACTCATAGAAACCCTATACACAATAGAACTGAACCCCGCCTGGTCCCGCACCGTCCTCCCAACCATCCCTGGACGTGAGCCCATGGTTGCAGCCACTGCGTCCAGCCACCTCCTTTAGGGCAGTCCTCGTTTGTCACTTCCCTCTGCTTTACCACGTGTGATGGCCTTCTCCAGGGACGGGCTCTCCCGCCAAGGAGTCCAATGTATGTTGGATGAAGTCTCCCCATTCTAGGCTCTATGGAGCACTCTGGCCATGCTTCCTCCCAAACAGATTTGTTTGTCCTTTGGCAGTCCATGGTACTTTCAGTATTCTTTTCCAGCACCACAATTCATGTGCATAGATTATTCTTTGGTCTTCCTTATTCAATGTCCAGCTGTCACATGCATATGAGGCAATTGGAAATACCATGGCTTGGGTGAGGAGCACCTTAGTTCTCAAAGTAATATTTTTGATTTTCAATACTCTAAAGAAATGTTGTGCAGCGGTTTTATCCCATGCAATGTGTTATGGGATCTCTTAACTGCTGCTTCCATGAGCACTTATTGTGATCTAAGCAAGTCAAAATACTTGACGACTTCCATCTTTTCTCTTTTGCTATTGATTCTACCTGTGGTCTGACTTTTGGTCTTCTTTACACGGAGTTGTAATTCACACTGAAAGCTACAATCCTTGATCTTCATCACAAGGGCTTCAAGTCTTCCTCACTTTCAGCAAGCAAGATTGTGTCACCTGCATCTCATGGGTTGTTAATAAGCCCTCCTCCAATCCTGATGCTATATTCTTCACACAAGCCAGCCTCTCTGAGGATTTGCTCAGCATACAGTTTGAAGAAGTATGATGAGAGGATGCAATGTTGACAAATACCATTCCTGATATTTAAACCAGGCAGTAGTCTCTGGTTCTGTTTGCACAACTGCCTCCTGATCCATGTACACGTTCCTCATGAGCACAATGAAATGTTCTGGAATTCCCATTTTTCTCAGGGCTCTTCATAACTTATCATGATCCACACAGTCAAAGGCCTTGGCACAGTCAATGAAACACAAGTAAACATATTTCTGGTATTGTCTGCTTTGAGACATTCGCAATTATGTCCCTTGTTCCACATCCTCTTTTGAATCTGGTGGCTTCTTGTCAATGTATTAGTGCAAGGGTTATTGGAGGACCTTCAGCAAAATTTTAACTTGCATGTGATATCAATGACATTCCTATCATCGGAGCATTCTGTTGGATCACCTTTCTTTGGAATGGGTCTAGCTATGGATTCATAGCTTCCAGCCAGTTGGCCAGGCTGGTGTCTTTCAAATTTCCTGGCACAGATGAATAAGTGCTTCCAATGTTTCATCAGCTTGTTGAAACATTTCAAGTGGTAACGTCAATTCCTGGAGCCTTGTTTTTGCCTAATTCTTTCAGGGCAGCTCAAACTTCCTCCTTTAGTACCACTGGTTTTTGCTCATATGCTACCTCCTGAAATGGTTTAATGGCCACTAATACTTTTTGGAACAAGAGTCAACTATAGCTATGTAAAATGATCTTATTTTTATTTATGCATAACTGCACTTCACTCTTTCATCTTATTCATTTGTGCAAATATTTATTGAATGCCTACTAGGTGCTGCTTTTGCTAAATGTTGTCAATTTACTTTTGTGATTGACTCAGTTTACGCAGCACAGTATTTTTAAGGTTCTAACTCATAGTGAACCCATTTGAAGCAGAACAAAACACTGCGGGTCCTGCACTATTCCCACAATCATTGCTGCGTGAGCCCATTGTTGCAGTCACTCTGCCGGTCTATCTTGTTGGAGGTCATTTAATTTTTTTCACTGACCTACTTTCCCAAGCATGAAGTCCTTTTCCAAGGACTCATCTCTCCTGATGCCATGTCCAAAGTACGCAAGAAAAGTCTCACTACCTATACTTCTAAGGAACATTCTGCCTATATTTCCTCCCAACGTTGTTCCTCCTTCTGCTGGTCCATGGTATACTTAAGTCTTTGGCAACATACTATTGCAAAGGTGTTAACGATTCTCCAGACTTCCTTATTCACTGTCCAGTTTTCAAGTGCATATGAAGTAATTCGAGGCTTGAAAAAATTTTTTTCAGTTCTTTCAGAATGTCCTTCCCTTTTGGTTTTCAAGCCTCCAGGTCTTGCACATTTCATTATAATACTTCACTCTGTCTTTTCAAGCTGTCCTTTCAAATGTTTTTTCAATTGCTTTACTCCATCATTTCTTCCGTTTACTTTAAGCTACTCTATGATTAAGTTTCAGAGTCTCTTCAGACATCCTTTTGATCTTCTCTTTCTTACCTTTTTCTTTGCTTTCTTCATGTATTGTGTTCATATAGTTTGTATACTTTCCAACTACTGTTCCTTCCTCTTTGTTTTCAACTTTTGCATTCCAAGTTCCCCTGACTATCAAGATATCTTGATTGTACGTTTGATCAATTCCAGACTGAAGACGCTGGTAGAATTGTTTGATTTCTGTATCGCTAGCTTTAGTGACTGGTGTGTAAACTTAAATGTATTTAAGAACAAAGACGCCACTTTGAAGAATATGGGGCACTTGCCCAAACCATGGTATTTTCAATGGCCTCCTGTGCTTGTGAAAGCTGGGCACTGAGTAGGAAAGACTGAGGAAGAATCGAGGCATCTGGATTGTGATGCTGGTGAAGCATATGGAAAGTGCACTGAACTTCCCAAAGAATAAACAGATCTGTCTGGCAAGAAGTACAGCCAGAGTGCTCCGTAAAGTAAGGACAGGGAGGCTTTGTCTCAGGGACTTCGGACATGTTATCAGGACCTCAAAGAGGACACCATGGTTGCCAAAGGAGGAGGGCAGCTAAAAAGACCCTTGTTGAGAGGGATCGACACAGCGGCTGCAACAGTCATCGCCAACCTAACAGCACTTGGGAGCCTGGCTCAGGACTGGGCGGTGCGAGTCTTTCTGGTGCTGTGAGCTGGAAGCGACCGCTGGCACCTGTCCCTAGCTCCAGCAACGGCAGCGTGCTGTGAGGGAGTGAGAGTGGTCCGGGGCGGGCACACTTTCACCCTCCAGTTGGCATCTCTGCTCTTCAACACTGTCAAGGAATCTTTGCAGCAGATTTCTCAGTATGTCATTTGGTCTCTTGAGTTCAGCTTTCATGAACATTGATCGTAAGTCGATCCAAGCACGATGAAATCCTTGAACACTTCACCGTTTTCTCCATGTATCATGATGCTACTTATTGGCCTGAGGGTGAGGATTTTGGTTTCTTTTACACTGAATAGCAATCCATTCCAAAGACCACAGTCCTTGATCCTCAGCAACACACGCTTCAAGCTCTCCTTACTTTCAGCAAGCAAGGTTGTGTTACCTGCACGTGGACGATTAATACACCTTGCTCAAATCTTCATAAAACATTCTCAATCATATGTAAAGATAAGCTACTCATGTTATCAACTCAAGAAACACATTGAATGGGTACGGTGAAAGGATAAATCCTGATGTATACTGTATTAGTCTGGGTACTTTAGAGAAACAAATCCACAGAAACTCATGTATGAGAGAGTTTTATATAAAGGTTAAGTGTGCATCAAGAAAACATCCCAACCTAGTGCTGCCCAAGCCCACAAGTCCAACATCAACCCATTAACCCATATGTCTAATACCAGTCCACAAAGTCCTCCTCCCTCTCACAAAACACACACTATGACGCTGACTGCAGGAGGAAAGTCAAGTCAGTGAGCGTGTAAGCATCTCAGCACTGGCAGGGGGTCTCCACATGGGTGCTCCAGCACCCTGGCTGGTTTGGGATAGGTCCATGTGACTTCTCCTCGGGGATGTCTTGTAGGAAGTGAGCCTTCCTAGCTGAGGCAGGGAACTGGTTAAGGCAGCTGCACCCTGGTCTAACCATCAGAAAGTCAGAGACCCGATAACTAGAAAGGCAAGACTTACTGAGCCATTTATCCTTCTGCCCTTCAATTAACCCCACATGTGTTTACTGGCCAGGTTGGCACAATAAACTACCTCATATACCTTTCTTGATTTTGAACCATGCAGTAGTCCCTTATCTGCTTGAATGATTGTCTCTTGTCCATGAAGTCATTCTGCATGAGAGCAATGAAATGTTCTGGAATTCCAATTCTTCTTAATGTCATATGTAATTTTTTATGATACACACAGTCAGATGCCTTTGTATAGTCAATAAAACACAAGTAAATAATTTTCTTATAGTCTCTGCTTTTAGACAAGATCCATCTGACATTCGCAATGACAGCCCTCAAGCCACATTTTGTTCTGCATCTGGTTTGCATTTCTGACAGCTCCCTTTCAAGTACCGCTACACAGTTTCAGACTTATCTTTAACATAATCTTACTTTCAGTTGATATTAATGATATTGTTATATAATTTTCACCTTCTGTTGCATCATTTCTTTGAATAAAAATTCATATAATTCCCTTCCAGCTGATTGGTCAGACAGCTGACTTTCAAATTTCTTTTTATAAATGAGTGTGTGCTTCTAGCATTGCATCTGTTTGTTGAAACATTTCAATAAGTATACCACCAATTCCTTCAAACTTGATTTCACCAATGCCTTTAGTTTTGCTTGGGCTTCTTCAAGATCTACTGTGTCAGGCTAAAGACAACAGGCAGATTTGTTAAGTGTAGTGAGCCCACACCAACTATTTTTTACCAAGAGAAAGTGTTACAATAGAGATGTATGGGATGGTTAGGGATGATACTACAACAAGGGTTTTGAATTTGGAGTTGGGTTTTCAGGAAGGTTTCCTAAAGAAAGAGATATTTAAGCTAAGGATGTTTTACACTCTCAGTGTTGTAACTGAAATGGGAAATTTAGTCTAGACTAATGAAATAAGATGCCAATGGTAAATATCTATGGATAATTTGAAGATCAGAAAGAAGACTAAGGAAACTTGACTTGCTAAATGTTGCATTTTAAGGGGTGAAATAGCAAGACCTAGGGATGAAAGGGTAAGCAGTACTCAGATTATGACAGGCCTTGGGCATCTTTGGACTTTATTTTAGGGCAAAAGGAAGATGTAAAGGTTTTTACGTTTTCATCAGAGTTCTTGATCATATATTTGTGTCTCAAAATGATTGAATGTCAACCAATTATTTTTTGGTACAGTGACTCTGTATTCCTTCCATCTTCTTTTGATGCTTTCTCCATAATTTAACATTTGCCTATAGATTCCTTCAACATTGCCCCTGGAGGCTTGAGTTTTTTCTTCAGTTCTTTCAGCTTTAGATATATTGAGCATCCTCTTCCTTTTTGGCGTTCTAATTCCAGGTCTTTGTACATTTCATTAAAATCCTTTGTCATCTCAAGCTACCCTTTGAAATTTTCTGTTTCTTTTAATTCACTATTTCTTTCATTTGCTTTAGTTACTCTATGTTCACGAGCAGGTGTCAGAATCTTCTCTGATATCTACTTGGGTCTTTTCTCTGTTTCCTGCCTTTTTAATGACCTTTTGTCTTCTTCATATGCGATGCTCTTGATGTCATCCCACAACTGGTATAGCCTTCTATCAATAATGCTGACTATGCCAAATCTGTTCTTGAGATGTTTTCTACATTCAGGAGGGATATATTCAAGGCTATATTTTGTCTCTCATGCACTTGTTTTAAGTTTCTTCAGCTTCAAAGTGAACTTACATATGCATAACTGTTGTTCTGTTCCACTGTTGGCCCTTGGTCTTGTTGTGGCTAATGATATTGAGCTTGTCCTTCATCTCTTCCTGCAGATATATTCAATTGGATTCCTATGTATTCCATCTGGCAAAGTCTACCGCAAAGTTTGATACGGGGTCTAGAACTTGAAAGTGGTCTGAGCCAGAAATAAAGATTCAGGGCTCCGCAATAACTGAGGTCACAACTGCTGATGAGATTCTCTGAAGATCATGGATGAGGTGAGAAGTGAAGAAAGGGTTGAATCGTAGGGAACAACAAGAGGGAGAGGAACTTTCTAAAGGAACCGAAGAGATATCACCAGAAGTAGGAGAAGGACCAGGACACTGGATGACTTGCAAGTCGAGTGAGTGCTTACTTTTCTACCAAGAAGGCTTTAAACTCATTTGTAGTGTTGGGAGAAGTGGAGATTCCACAGATCCGGGACCTAAGATACTTCCAGGCTGACCACACTCCTAGCAAAGGAGCCATTCCTGGAAATGAGGTCAAGGAATAGGACATCCATGACTCAAGAATTATAGCTTTCTTTTTAGAAACCTAGATCCAAAGGATAACATGGGGCATTTTCAATGTGAAGGGAGGAGGTTGAATGACATCCTCACATTAGTTCCTCTACCTAATCTGAAGTTTGGCTTGTGCAAGTAGAAACCATGGGCTAAGTGATTGATTAAATGTTGAGCAAGCTTCAGTATGAGTGCAGGCAGTTGGTTTAGGTAATTAAACCCCACTGACCAGAAGAGTGAGCCACTTACATGTAGTAGGTAATAGTAGGTGGAGTCTTCAGGGTTATTTAGCGTTTTGGGTTTCCGGGGTCGTCTTGGGGGTCTCAGTATTTTTGGCTCTTCTCCTTTAGAGATACCTACAAGAAATGTGGTTATAAATTCAGTTAAAAACAATATTATCATGCAGGGTGTTTCTTTTAAGGTAGGAAATGATACACACTCATCTGGGGCATAGTTGAGAGAAAAAGGAAATATTTTCATTTTCCTAATCAGTCATTACCATACTCCTCCCCACCTGCTCCCTCCAATTCCCTGGCACTCTAGGACCTGGAGCGCTGACAGGCAGGGAGGAAAGAGAAGAGGAGGAAGGCCGAGGTTGGGAACATTGTCCAGCCATGCAGAAGATGTGTGAGGAGACGACTCAAAAGCTGCTAGAAACACTAGAAACAGGGCTAGTATGTTGATCAGATCTTTTTGTCACCTTCCCTGGCCCTTGCAGCCACCTCATCCTGCATCCCATCCACCCAAGTACAGCATGGTCTTCATCTTGAAGTACTGCCTCACATGATACAGTCCAAATCAGGGCTGTACCTAGCCTAAAGCCTAATCTATTATCTCACCAACATTTAGAACTTCAAGACACGAGCCTTCCCACATCTGATTCAAAATCCTGACCAAGAAAGAACACATCTCCCCCCTTTTATGTAAATATAGCTGCGGTAGTTAATCTGGTGTCAACTTGAGACCATTAAGAGTGAAGGGGTGGAGTTTAGCCTGTCAATCAGATCACGTCTTGATGGCCTCATTTGGAGTTGCTAGGGAGATAAATACAGGAGATAGACTTACTCCCTGAGAGATGCTCTACCAACAAGACACATGGCGCTACGCCAGTGGTTCTCAACCTTGTTAATGCCGTGACCCTTTCATACAGTTCCTCGTGTTGTGGTGACTCCCAACCAGGAAATTATTTTTATTGTTACTTCATAACTGTTATTTTGCTACAGCGATGAATCATCATGTATATATCTGATATGCAGGATGTATTTTCATTATTACAAATGGAACATAATTAAAGCATAGTGATTAATCACAAGACCAATATGTAATTATATATTGTGAAATATTTATTTCTAATTACAAATAAATGAAATTTTGTCTTGAAGCATGGTGTAGCATGGGTAACAGTCTTAATGCCAGGTACTCCTATGTGTGTGTATCTGCATGAGGGAGGACCCACCTGGAGACTAAGGCCGTCAGAAATATGTGTTTTCTGATGGTCTTAGGCGACCCCTGTGAAAGGGTTGTTCGAGCTCCAAAGGGGTCACAACCCACAGGTTGAGAACCACTGCACTACACTGATAGAGCCCATGCCCTGGGAGCTGGGGGAGTCACGTGGAGACCCTTGCCAGTGCTGAGATGCTTCTACCACCACCGGATCCACAAGACTTCCCACCCACTGGCCTATGATCTTCCTGCATTCAGCATCATAACATATGTTTCATGATTCTGAAGAGGACTTTATAGAGTGGTATTGGACATATGGGTTAATACCAGACTTATGGATTTGATCTGGACTGGGCTGGGATGTTTTCTCAATATTCAATTGCTCTTGTATATAAACTCTTTCTTATACACATGTGAGTGTCTCTTAATTTGTTTTTCTAGTCTATTCAAACTAGCACAATAGCCAAATTTCTTAAAACTAGAGTGGCAGGGGGCTTTCAATGACTTGCAGGCACGGTTTTTTGGATTGTTACTTTAGAGTTGCAGAACCAATGGGCCTCTTATGAAGTACTTGTCTTTTTGTAATGATTCTCATCCACCTCAAACTCCCATTGCATTTGTGCAGGAATCTCTGCACTGCAGATACCTTGGGATCCAGGAGGGAGTGGTTACGGGTGCTTCATGGAGAACAGTCTACACGCAGAAGGTACTCAAGTTTACATATTGTGTTGCTTTTGTCAGGTTCTTTCCGGTTGGTTCTGATTCATGGGGACTCCATGTGGACCAGAACAAGATGTTGGCTGATCCTGGGCATTCTCACAGGCTCACTGCTGTAGCTACACTGTCAATCCTCCTGAATGAGGAGCTCCCCTTTTTGGCTGACCTTCTACTTTTCCACGCATGATGCTTTCTCCGGGGACTTGCCTCTTCTGATACCGTGTCCAAAGCATGTGAGACAAAGTCTAAGGAGCATTCCAGGAGGGAAGGCCTAGTGATCTCTTCTGAAAAGATAGTCAATAAAAACCCTAGGGCCTGATCTCATGCACGAGGTTGCTGAGAGTCAGGAGTGATTCAACAGCAGCTCCCACCACCAACAAGGAGTTAAATAGATCATTGTTACATAAAAGGGCTGTCCCAATTCTTAATCCACAGATGTGGAAACGTACACAGAGAAACAGAATAGGCCCAATTCATACTAATCAAATTAAGTCAAATCTAATCAAGTCAATAAATATTTTATACTTAATTATGATGACTAAACAACTGAGACTAGATGTGCAAATCAGCATTAGCCAGGATGGGAGACTCGTAGCTATCTACATTTCAAGTCCCATGCCCAGCCCACTACGCACACATAATTTCTCACCATAGCACTAAAATCTTCTGCCACTCATTCCTTTCAAAGTGTACGGGAACGTATGGATGACAAAAAAGCTCAGCTAGTTGGGGGTTGTTCATAGAGGCGTTTAACACATACGGCAGTGGTAGTAAAAGAAAACTCGACAACCAACATCACCGGTCCTTTTTGAATGAAACAAAGCAAAGTGGAATACACAGTGAAACCAGCGAGAACTCGAACTTCACGGACTGGTCTCTTTTCCGAGGACTCTGGTTTTCTGCCTTTGGGTGTGTGGCAATTACATACTGTATGTACTCGAGTATAAGCCGAGGCACCTAATTTTACCACAAAAAACAGGGGGGGGGGGCTTTTTCAGCATAAAAAATGTGCTGAAAAAACTCGGCTTATACTTGAATATATATAATAATCTGGTGTCAATTTGGGACTTGAGAGGATTAAGAGTGAAGGGATGTAGGCTAGTCTGTCAATCGGATCATAGCCAATGAGGGCTCTGTGTGGGCATGGCCTTCTCCTGAGAATTCTGGGTTTTCCTCCTTGGAGGCGGGAGAGACGCTCTGCTCATTCCCTGGGAGACATTGCATCTGACAAGACACATGGAACTACACTAGTGCCCTGAGCTAGAGAAGTCACATGGACCTAGCCTGATGCAACCAGACCGCTGAAGCCAGAGAAGCCATGTAGAGACCCCTGCCAGCACTGAGATGCTTACAACACCACTGGATCCAAAGACTTTCTACCCACTGGCCCGTGATCACCCTGCATTTGGCGTCATTGCATGTGTTTCATGAGTCTAAAGAGGACTTTATAGACTAGTATCGGACATATGGGCTAATATCGGACTTATGGGCTTGGATTGGACTATGTTGGGATGCTTTCTTAATGTACAATTACTCTTTATCTAAAACTCTCTCTTATACACATATGAGTTTCTATGGATTTGTTTCTCTAGTCCACCATGACTAACACAGGGTATAATCCTAACATTTTTTTATTGCTCTGTTTACAGGGAAATATTTGCGCTTTCCCTCTCTGACATGTTTCTGTCTTACATGAATTCCATGTTTCAGAGATCTGACTGCATTTGTTAATCAGACAATGCAGGTAGAGATGAGTAATGTATCGGAGAAAGCACTTTCCCAACTAATCCCTGGTAGTTTTTCTCCCCGTCTCTTTTCCTTCTTCCCCGAAGGAACAAGACAACGGAGATGGAGGGAGTCCAAGTCTGTGGGCCACTTCTGGATCCAGTTTTAGATTGTCACAGGCACAAGAGAAGATGGTAAGGCCTGAATTCTTCCCATGATCATAAATACTTTATTTTGTTTCTTTCTCCTTACTTATCCTCTCCAGGGCTGCTGATGAAATAGCTCCTACTGGATCTTGCAAAATTTTATCATGTTTAAAATGTATTGGTTGTATTAGCTTCCCTGACCCCCTTAGATTTGAATGGTGTGAAACAAAATTTGGGGTCAGGTTAGTATACCTACTCACTGCCGTTGAATTGATTCTGACCCAAAACAAACCTATCGGACATAATGCAACTGCCCCTAGCGTTTCCTGGACTGGGATCCTTAAGTAAGCAGTTTGCCAAATCTCTCTCCCTCGGAACAGTTGGTGGGTTTGAACCCCTGACTTTTTTTGTTCTTTTTGGGGTGAGCAATCCTGTGCTTTCATCATGTGCCGCCATGGTCCCTGAGTTAATATTTCTTTAATATTTTTTAAAGTTCATAATAGAAGACCAGCATGTTATTGTTGTTGTCCGTTGTCTCCGAATAGGCTCCAACAGGTGCTGAGCTGATGTGTGACAGAAGTACCTGCTGCCCCATCTGGCTTTAGTTCCTCCATCCGGATTGCTGTGCCTGGGCCCACTGTGGAGGCTGTCTCACTGACCAGTCTCACAGAGGGTGCTCTTGGTTTCTGCTGACCCTCCACTTGACCAAACATGATGTTTTTTTCCAGCAATCGGGACATTATTATTGTGAAACAAAACAATCAGGTTTATGAGGGCCTAGAATCTGAACAAACACCATGAGGTGAAGCACAATAACCACAATGACTTATGGCCTAGAATCTGTCTTGACCTCGTCTTCATGTTCTTGTCAGATGCTTCCATTTCCTCTGATTTATATCCCAAGGCTCTATTGACACTGTCCCCTGCAGAGGCAGGGTGACATTTATGGCTCATTCCAAAGATCCTTTATCTGTTCTTACCATCTCTGACTTCTTTAATAGGTAGCATTGCCAACCACCCCTCCTCCTCAAGACTAGAGAGGAGGCTTGGGAAGGTAGACACCTTATCTGTGTATTCTAGGTATGTAGGGAAACGCTTGACACATATTAAGTGCTCAATATGTTTGCTGACGAAACAACTGATCTGCCCCTGGCCTCCTGCGTGCACTCACCTCTGACCCCGGTGCGGTCAGTGTCCCCAGTTGGACTCTGTGTAGAGGGCTCCAAATGCACACTTCACGTTTGGCCTTCCACACCACTTCCCGTTGCCTATGGGCCATTCCCACCTAGAAATCCGGGACCCAACCATTTTCTCCTATTGAGATT